TTTTACTCGTATTTACTATATTGCTATTATGTTGTTCTCCTGCCAACCTAGCAGTTCGAAAGCAAGAAATTGCAAGTAGATAAATAGGGACCACTTCGGTGGGAAGGGAACAGCGGTCCGTGCGCCTTGGTGTTTAGTCATGCCGGCCCCATGACCACGGAAACGTCTTCGGACAGCGCTGGCTCTTCGGCTTTGAAACGGAGATGAGCACCGGAACCCTAGAGTCGGATTCGACTGGCTTTCGAGCAAGGGAACCTTTACCTTTATTATGTTGTTACCCTCCCTGAACCCATTTGTGTGAAGGGGGGGCTATAAATATGGGAAATAAATAAATAAATAGTAATGGCCACTGGAATAACTAGCTTTAAAAAGGCATTAGATAGATTCATGGAGGATCAGTCTATCCATGGCTACTAGCCGTGGTGACTGAGGAGAACCTCCACATTCAGAGGCAGGGATCCTCTGAATCCCAGAGTCAGGAGGCTACATCAGGGAAAGGCCTCGGCCTCTCTGCCCTGTTGTTGGCTGTCCACGGAACTGGTTGGCCACTGTGTGAGACAGGAGGCTGGCCTAGACAGAACATTGGTCTGATCCAGCAGGGCTCTTCTTGGGTTCTTTATGCTGTGACTACTCTTTCAGTGGCCACTTCAAAATAGTTGGACTGGACAACTCCAGTGAATGGTTGCTGCCCTTTTATGTCTCTCTCCTAGGGTTGCCAGCCCCTCCAGGTGGGGCCTGGGGATCTCCCACTTTTACAACTGATCTCCAGCTGACGGAGATCAGCTCCCTTGCAGAAAATGGCTGCTTTGAAGGCTCAATGGGTTTGTACCATGCTGAGGCCCCTCCCCTCCCCAAACCCCGCCCTCTCCTGGATCCACCCCCGAAGTCTTCAGGCGTTTTCCAACCAACCCTAAGGTCTCCACCTGGCACCTTCTGCTTGAGTAAGCCCCTCTAAGGGTTAAAGTGACAGAGTTCCCAGTCCTAGAAAGGCATGGGAGGGTTACCTTTCAAAAGCTATTTCCTGCCTGCCCCCACCAAAGGGCCTCAGTTCCACAGGCTGCTGCATTAGTAGCTGGTGAGTTTGGAGGGGGAGGGGAGGGATAAAATGACATAAAGCAGGGATTGATGAGTGTGGGGGTGGAGAGGACCGCCCCCCCACCCTTTCCCCGGCTTTTATTTCTTCCTTAGCTTTGCAGCAAGATTTTGGCTCCTGCAGTCTCAGTCTCTGGCTGAAAGGAGGAAGAAATTTGGTGTGGCAGGTAGCAGGGGGAGGGGGCTGGGGGGAAGTGGAGGAAACATTTGCATCTGGGGCGGGGTGGCGAGCTGCAGAAAGGAAGAGGAGAATTTAAGCAATCCTCCCTCTAAGCTGTGGAGTCTTGTGAGCAAAACATTCTACTTTGTGAGCTACTGGCCTTAAAATGGGATCTACTAAAAGGAAGGACAGGATTGCCCATTGGAAACAATAGGAGACGCTGGAAGACCCATTGGAAATCATGGGAGCCAGGAATGCCAATTGACTTGCATGGGCTCCATTGGAAAACATGAGGGTACAAGTAGAGTTGCAATAAAAATGCGGAATGGATTTTCCATTAGGGTCTCTGGGACCAAGTACACTACTCTGGGGAGGGAATGAGAGACCACGGAGTGCAATGACAGCCCCGGGGTGGAGCAGGAGCGTTCAGGCACTGGGATGAGTACATCCCATTAAAATTGGGAGCCAGCCATTGAGCTGCTGCATCAATTAGTTTGCTCTGGGGCCATCTTTCCTGAGCTGAGACAAAAAGGTGTGAGCTGGGGGCTAAAAAACCGTGAGCTAGCTGCGGTGGCTCAAGTGGTTAAGACTCTGAACTGCAGGCTGTGGAAGGTCAGTAGTTCAGCAGTTCGAGACCCGGGTGCCGCAAGACGGAGTGAGCTCCCGTCTCTAGTTCCAGCTCCTGCCAACCTAGCAGTTAGAAAGCAAGAAATTGCAAGTAGATAAATAGGTACCACTTCGGTGGGAAGGTCACAGCGTTCCGTGCGCCTTGGTGTTTAGTCATGCTGGCCACATGACCACGGAAACGTCTTCGGACAGTGCTGGCTCTTCGGCTTTGAAACGGAGATGAGCACCGCAACCCTAGAGTCAGATTCGACTGGCTTTCAAGCAAGGGAACCTTTACCTTTACCTTTAGCTCGCACTAACTCAGAGGGAGGGCTGGGAGATAGCTAAGTGCAAGGCAATGTCCTACCATCAGAAGTCTGTGGCTTTTATTTACTGAGTCCCAACGGTTTAATTTGTGCAAAATTAGCATTTTGAGTGACGCCCCATAGCCAATTAAACAGAAGGCGAGTTGAACAAAGTTCGAGTCCGGTGGCATCTTTAGGACCACTGAAGTTTAATTCTGGGTGTGAGCTTTCCTGTGGAAGCACACTTCTTCAGATGGATTTGCCCAGACAGCTGGACTCTCTGAGGAAAAGGCATGCCTTTCTTTTTTATGGGGCTGGTGGGGAGGAATGCTTCCTTGCCACAAGAAAACTTCCCATCTCAAAAAGGACATTGCAGAGCTGGAAGAAGTACAAAGGAGGGCATGCCCCATGACCTCTGCTTATTGGATGGAAGCTGATATTTATTCACATATAACTTTAAGAGAAGCCAATGTTGGATCAGGCAGATGGCCCATCCAGTCCAACACTCTGTCACACAGTGGCCAAAAATACCAGGTGCCATCAGGAGGTCCACCAGTGGGGCCAGGACACTAGAAGCCCTCCCACTGTTGCCCCAAGCACCAAGAAGACAGAGCATCACTTGCCCCAGACCGAGAGTTCCTATCTATCCCCTGTGGCTAATAGCCACTGATGGACCTCTGCTCCATATGCTTATCTAATTCCCTTTTGAAACCGTCAATGCTTGTAGCCACCACCACTTCCTGTGGCAGTGAATTCCATTTCCATTCCAGTGAATTTGTAATAAATGTTTTAGGAGCTGCAGTTTCCTAATTCTTTACTGGCAAAATGCAATATCACCAAGGCAGGGCTCCATGATGGCAGAGATCTGCAATACTCATGACCTGTAACCAGCTGATGTGCAAAGACAAAAGTTATGCATACCCATTCACAAGGAAGATTCTCAAATAAAACAGTAAAGCAAGCAGACTACTGGGTCGTTGTCCCCCAACTGGGTGGAGAGTTTCTCAGACAAAAGGTAAAGGTTCCCTTGCTCGAAAGCCAGTCGAATCTGACTCTAGGGTTGTGGCGCTCATCTCCGTTTCAAAGCCAAAGAGCCAGCGCTGTCCGAAGACGTTTCCGTGGTCATGTGGCCGGCATCACTAAACACCAAGGCGCACGGAACGCTGTTACCTTCCCACTGAAGCAGTACCTATTTATCTACTTGCAGTTTCTTGCTTTTGAACTGCTAGGTTGGCAGGAGCTGGAACTAGAGACGGGAGCTCACTCCGTCATGCAGCACCCGGGTCTCGAACTGCTGAACTACTGACCTTTCACAGCCTGCAGCGTCTTAACCACTTAACCACTTGAGCCACCGCAGCAGTGGAGAGTTTCTAAGACAATAGAATGGCAAAAACTGGGAAGGAAGGGAGAGAGCTTAAGGGCCAAGCCCTCTGGTCCTTTCTCGATCTAATCCAGAATCTTGAATTGTTTATTTATTTATTTACATAATCGATGTCCCTCTTTCTCACTGCGACTCAAGACAGATTACACAAGGTAGATCAGTGCAATCAGGAAGATGATGCAATAAGAGAGTTGACCAAGAGACCTTTTTCCCCCTCTCCCAAAATTCAAGGGCATCCAATGAAACCGATGGGCAGTAGGTTCAGGATGGCCAAAGGAAATTCTGCTTCACACACAGTGATGAAAATGTGGAATTGGCTGCCAGAGGATATAGTGATGGCCACAGAAATAAACAGCTTTAAAAGGGGATTAGATAGATTCATCATGGAAGATCAGTCTATCAGTGGCTACTAGACATGGTGGCTGAAGGGAACCTCCACCTTCAGAGGCACTAATCCTCTGAATCTCAGCCAGGAAGCAACGTAGGGGAAGGCCTTGTCCTCTATGTCCTGTTGTTGGCCGTCCAGAGGAACAGGTTGGCCACTGGGTAAGACAGGATGCCGAACTAGATGAACCACTAGTCTGATCCAGCAAGGCTTTTCTTAAGTTCTTTTACCTGAAGGAGTCTTAAAGTAGCTTACAATCACCTTCCGTTCCTTTCCCCACAACAAATGCCTTGTTAGGTAGGTGGGGTTGAGAGAGCTCTAAGAGAACTGTGACTGACCCAAGGTCACCCAGCTGGCTTCATGTGGAGGAGTGGGAATCAAACCCGGTTCTCCTGATTAGAGTCCGCTGTTCTTAACCACTACATCAAACCAGAGAAACTGGTTGCCCTCTGTGTGTGATGGGATGCTGGACTATTTGGACTATCAGTCTGATCCAGCAGGTCTCTTCTTAAGTTCTTAAATACTGCTTTACACAGAGAGTGATTATATTCACTGGCAGAGGATGTAGTAGTGTCCACAGGAATAAACAACTTTCAAAGGGGATTCCATAGATTCATGGAGGTTAAGTCTACCAATGGCTACTAGCCATGGTGACTGAGGGGAACCTCCACATACAGAGGCACTAAGCCTCTGAATTGCAGAGCCAGGAGACAACCTCAGGGGAAGGCCTTGGCCTCTAGGCCATGTTGTTCGCTGTCCTGAGGAACTGATTGGCCACTGTGTGAAACAGGATGCTGGACTAGATGGACCATTGGTCTGATCCAGCAGGGCTCTTCTTAAGTTCTTATGAAGGCCTCGGCCTCTCTGCCCTGTTGTCCAGAGGAACTCCTGTGTGAGACAGGATGCTGGACTAGAAGGACCATTGGTCTGATCCAGCAGGCCTTATGTTGTTATGTTCTTATGGAGACAGCTGGTTTTTGCCTAAGGAACTGGAGGGGGGAAAATATATATATATATACAGAGGATGAAAAGCTGCCCGTTGTCTTTGTCACCCTATCAGGCAGAGGAAACATGTCAGAGTTGGGTTCCAGTTCCCCTCCTCGTGAAGCTGAAAGGACTGCTTGGCAGACAGCTCAGGTAAGGCAGGGATCACTGGAGAGACACGAAGGAGGTTGTTTGGGTGCTTTCATCTTTTCTTTTCCCCCTCCCCTTTTTCCTTTCCTCCTCCCCCCCCCTTTCTTCTTTTGATGCTCGATCCTGCACGACCCCTATGTTTCTGCTCATTTTAAAAATGCACCGGGAAAGAGGAGAGAATAAAACCAACCCTGTAGCGGCAGCTGCCACTCAAACAACGTGATTTTAATCTTCCAATCTGAGTGGATCTTCAGGGGCCCATCAGAATCCCTCCTGGGCAAGTCCCCCACCTCCCGACACCCACTTTCTAAAAATACTTAGTGGGCACTAGCGAACGTGGCGGCGGGCACCATAGTGCCCCCGGGCCCAGTGTTGGGGATCCCTGCTGTAGATAGTTCTTGGCAGGGGTCATTTCGTAGAAAAAGAGGTGCAGGAGCTCATTAGCATAACTCGTTAGCATAACTCATTTGCATGTGCCACACCCCCTGACATCACCGGAAGTGTGTCAGAAGGCAACACCCATCGCTCAGGCTCCACTGGACTGTTTTGGATTGCTAGCTATTGGGGGGGGGGAACGTGCAGATCTGTCCTCGCAGAGGAGGGAGAGCTTGTACCTGAATAAAACTTGGTCTTAAAGGTGCCACTGGACTGTTTTGGACCGGGGGCTAGGGGGGGGCTCTGCAGCTTACCTGGCTGCTTCTTGCTCTGACTGAGGGCTGCTGGGAGAAGGGGGTGGGGCTTGTTGCGTGTGCCCGCCCCCCTGGGCTCTTTACTGCCGGAGCTCCGCTCCTGTGGGCTCCTGCAGGAAATGACCCCTGGTTCTTGGTAGGCTTCACGTCACCTCTGAGCTGCCAAGGTCACCTAGCCAGGCTTCAGCTGCCTTTGAGCAGGATCCATTTCGTTCAAAGCTTGGGTTTCTTCAAGGCCCATGTCAGGGTCCAACAGGACTGCATTCATGCCATATAACATGGAGAGCGAAAACACAGTATCTTGGTAGATCCAGGTAGTCAGTGTGTTGGTCTGAAGCAGTAGAACAGATCTAGAGTCCTGTGGCACCTTTAAGACCAACAAAGGTTTATTCAGGGTATGAGCTTTCGTGTGCAAGGCACACTTTTTTGAAATGCATTGGAATGTTAGATGAGGTTCTAAACTTATAGACGGGGTTTTAACAGCCAATTAACACGTAACATGATGATGTTTAAGTTATGCAAAGTGAAAAACTAAATAACAAGTTAAAGTTATACGGTCAGCAGTTATAAAGCAACATATGAATAAGTAACAGAATCTTAATTATCTCGCTCTACGCCTGGTTGGAGATAATTAAGGTTCTGTTACTTCCCACAATTAGAAAAAAAACACCTTTAGACCAATGTTCCCTCTAAGCTGTGTAGTCTCGTGAGTAAAAATTGTACTTTGTGAGCTACTGGCATTGAAGTTGTGAGCGAGCGATTTGGCTACTGCATAAAGTAGTTTGCTCTGGAGCTAAGGCAAAAATGGGTGAGCTGGAGGCTAAAAAACTGTGAGCTAGCTCACACTGACTCAGCTTAGAGGGAACAATGCTTTAGACATTTATCTGCTATTGTGACATATTTATTTAATATCACACAAAAGCTCATACCTTGAATAAACCTTTGTTGGTCTTAAAGGTGCCACGGGACTCTAAATTTGTTCTACAGTATCTTGGTGTCTTGCATGAAATCTAGTCTTGTAACTTGTAAGACAGCTTGACAAGTTCCTCTGGTTTGGTTGCCATGAACAAGCTGCCTCTTGAGTTGAAACGAGGTATCCCCTAATAAATTGATTCTTACACACCTCTGAAGTCTGTGTATCAGGACTCAGTAATGTGTGGTGTGGGGCTAGTTCTCATAACAATACTGCAGTAATTAAGAACATAAGGGAAGCACTGTTGAATCAGGCCAATGGCCAATCCACTCCTACACTCTGTGTCACACAGTGGCCAAACCCAGGTGTCAGGAGGTCCACCAGCAGGGCCAGAACTCCAGATGTTACCTGAATTGGTCTAGTAATTAATTGATTGGTTGGTTTGGCCACTGAGAGCCAGTTTGGTGTAGTGGTTAGGAGCGTGGACTCTAATCTGGGATAATTGGGTTTGATTCCCCGCGCCTCCACATGCAGCTGCTGGGGGACCTTGGTCCAGTCACAGTTCTCTCAGAGCTGTTCTCTCAAGAGCAGTTTTCTCAGAGGTCTCTCAGCCCCACCTACCTCACAGGGTGTCTGTTGTGGGGAGAGGAAGGGAAAGGGGATTGTAAGCTGCTCTGAGACTCAGAGTAAAGGACGGGGTATAAATCCAATCTCTTCTGCTGCTGCTGCTGCTGCTTCCTGCTTCTGTCCAGGCCTCACTTCAAAAAGGATGTGGAAAGAATGGAGTAGGTGCAGAGGAGAGCGACGAGGATGATCGGGGGCCTGGAGACCAAGCCCCATGAGGAAAGGCTGAGGGACTTGGGAATGTTTAGTTTGGAGAAGAGGAGTTTGAAGGGGACATGATTGCTCTCTTTAGAGCCAGTTTGGTGTAGTGGTTAAGTGGGCGGACTCTAATCTGGGAGAACCGGGTTTGATTCCCCACTCCTCCACTTGCACCTGCTGGATGACCTTGGGCAAGCCATAGTTCTGTCAGAGCTGTTCTCTCAAGGACAGCTCTGGAAAGCGCTCTCTCAGCCCCGCCTACCTCACAGTGTGTCTGTTGTGGGGAGAGGAAGGGAAAGGAGTTTGTAAGCTGCTCTGAGACTCCTTTGGGTAGTGAAGGGCGGGATATAAATCCAATCTCTTCCTCTTCTTCTCTTCTTCTTCTTCTTTAAGCATTTGAAGGGCTGTCACTTAGCAAAGGGCAGGGAGCTGTTCCTGTTGGCAGCAGAGGACAGGACTCACAATAATGGGTTTAAATTTAGGGCGGGAAGGCACCAGCTGGATCTTAAGAAAAACTGTTTCACTGTAAGAGCTGCTCAACAGTGGAATCAGCTGCCTACGGGGGTGGTGAGCCTCCCCCTCCCTGGCAGTCTTCAAGCAGCGGCTGGACAAACACTTGTCAGGGATGCTCTAGGCTGATCCTGCACTGAGCAGAGAGGGTCGGACTAGACGACCCGTATGGCCCCCTGCCAGCTCTGGGGTTCTATGATTCTATGAACCGAAAGCTAACGCACATGCTTCCCTCCAGGATTCTGCATCTCCCCCTGGAGAACAGCCTCTGATTCCCAAACCTGACCTTGTTACCTGTCTAGAAGGAGAGGAAGAGGAGTGTGTCCAAGCCCTTGATGAAGGTGAGGGATCAGCAGGTAGTGTGGCTGGAAGAGAATGTCTGGAAACTGTGGGGTTCCTTCAATGGGCTGGTGGTTTTCTATGGTTCTGTGTTGCACAGGGCTTTCAAGGGTGATTAGATAGATTCACAGGTGATATGCCTATCAATAGCTACTAGCCATGGTGGCAGAGGGGAACTTCCCCAGTCAGAGGTACTAAGCCTCTGAATCCCAGAGCCAGGAGGTGACACCAGGGGAAGGCCTCGGCCTCTACGCCCTGTTTTTGGCTGTCCAGAGGAACTTCTTGGCCACAGTGTGAGACGGGATGCTGGACTAGATGGACTATTGGTCTGATCCAGCAGGGCTCTTCTTAAGTTCTTATGAAGGCCTTGGCCTCTATGCCCTGTAGCTGGCCCTCCAGAGGAACTGCTTGGCCACTGAGTGAGACAGGATGCTGGACTAGATGGACTATTGGTCTGATCCAGCAGGGCTCTTCTTAAGTTCTTATGAAGGCCTTGGCCTCTATGCCCTGTAGCTGGCCCTCCAGAGGAACTGGTTGGCCACTGAGTGAGACAGGATGCTGGACTAGATGGACTATTGGTTTGATCCAGCAGGGTTCTTCTTGTGTTCTTATGGAAGCAGAATAAATGGTAGTAATTTTTGGCCCACAAAGTACTCATTGGGCAAGAACATTTCATCTGGCAAGATGCAGAATAGGGGCTTTGGAAGGTGGGGTGGGGGGATTTTGGCAGCCAGCCAGGAGCACTCTAGGGTGGAGGTTCAGGGAATAATAAGGTCAGAATTATGGGGGGGGTAGTCGCTACAGCTTCCAGTGATTATCGTGAAGAGACTTTGGTTCAGAGGACTAAACCCTCTACTGAATATTTAAATGGTGGCAGAATGAGACCAGTATCTTTTTCAAAAATTAGCTGGTGGTCTCCTGAAAATTAGTCAAAAATTATGACTGTAGCTCCCTCAGCATTTGCTGAGTGGGAAGACTGGCCGTGCAACATATCTGAGTTTGCCTAAAATGGCAACTTAATTATACTGATGGCTAGCCCTTAACCCAGCCTGCTCTGGCCGCCTTCTCTTGGATCGGCAGACAAATGGAAACGTAACATCTTCTGTATTTCTCCTTCAGTGTGCAAAGCTCCTCAGTTTTTCCACGTACTTTGTATATTTACTAAGAAAATGTCTCTCCTGTCTTCTGGTCTTGACCACTCAAGGTGGCTCATGGTAACAGAAAAAAAACGCGGTGAATTAAAAAAATGAAATGAAAATCACGATACAGATGCGACCATCTGTAGAAACAGAAAAACAATGAAAACAAGCAAGAAACTGCAGAGAGCATTTTACAGTGTCTAAATATTTCCAGTGTAAATAATAAAATCAAAAGCCCTCTGGAATAAGCATGTTTTCAATGTCCAACAACAGAAGGCAAGAAGAAATTGGGCCAGTTTGGTGTAGTGATTAAGTGTGCGGACTCTAATCTGGGAGAATCGGGTTTGATTCCCCACTCCTCCACTTGCACCTGGCTGGATGACCTTGGGCAAGCCATAGTTCTTGCACAGCTGTTCTTGAAAAAGAGCAGTTTCTGTCAGAGCTCTCTCAGCCCCACCTACCTCACAGGGTGTCTGTTGTGGGGAGGGGAAGGGAAAGGAGTTTGTAAGCCGCTCTGAGACACCTTTGGGTAGTGAAGGGCGGGGTATAAATCCAATCTCTTCTCTTCTTCTTTTACCTCACAGGGTGTCTGTTGTGGGGAGGGGAAGGGAAAGGAGTTTGTAAGCCGCTCTGAGACTCCTTTGGGTAGTGAAGGTCGGGGTATGAATCCAATCTCTTCTTCTTCTCTTCTAAATGAAATAGTTAATATTATTGAATCAATAACCTAAGTTGTGAGAAGATTGGCTGCTCTTTGAAGAGGCGTTCTGACAAAGTACTGTATTCTGGAATTCTCTACATAGTTAAACTGGCTCTTGTCTGGAGCTGATGTTTCTTTTCTTCTTTGTGCTCATGTTAGGATTTGCTTTTTTTCCACAGGAAACGTGTGGGACATAGTTAATGAAAAAGATTTCAAAGGAAATGCTACATCTACCGGTTGTCAGAATAGTGAGTACCGTGAAACAATACATGAAGGAAAGACACGAATCAAATGCTCTGCATGTGGGAAGAGTTTTGCTAGTATATCAACTCTTAAAGTGCATTGGGAAACTCACACAGGTGAGAAACCATATGACTGCCTGCAGTGTGGGAAGAGATTCATTCGGAGTGCAAACCTCATTATCCATCAAAGAACACACACAGGAGAAAAGCCATATAAGTGCGTAGAATGTGGGAAGCGTTTTATGCGGAGTACAAACCTCATCATCCATCAAAGAACCCACACAGGCGAGAAACCATATAAGTGTTTAGTATGTGGAAAGAGCTTTATTCAGAACTCAACCCTTACTGCCCATCAGGGAATCCACACAGGAGAGAAAACATATTCATGCTCAGAATGTGGGAAAAGCTTTATGCGGAGTACAAACCTTATAATACATCAGAGGATCCACACAGGAGAGAAACCATATAAATGTCTGCAGTGTGGGAAAAGCTTTAGTCAGAACTCATCCCTTACGACTCATCAAGGAATCCATACAGGAGAAAAAACATATGAGTGTTCAGAATGTGGGAAGAAGTTCATGCGGAGTGCCAATCTCATTTTACATCAAAGAATCCACACCGGAGAAAGGCCGTACAAATGTCTGGAATGTGGGAAAAGCTTTAGTCAGAGATCAACCCTTACTAGCCATCAAGGAATCCACACAGGGAAGAAAATATATGAATGTTTGGAATGTGGGAAAAAGTTTACACGGAGTGCAAACCTGGTTTTACATCAAGTAATCCATACAGGAGAGAAGCCATATAAATGCTTGGAGTGTGGAAAGCGCTTTAGTCAGAGCTCGAGACTTGTCACTCATCAAAGAATCCACACAGGAGTGAAACCATTTAAATGCCTGGAGTGTGGAAAGAGCTTCACTCACAGTACGAGTCTTATTAGGCACCAGAGAATTCACACAGGGGAGCAACCATTTCAGTTCCTTGAGTGTGCAAAGGGATTTGTTCAGAGTGCAAATCTCAGTGTACATAAAAAACCCCACATGGATGAAGAACTGTATAAATGTTTGGAATGTGGAAAGTGCTTTAGTCAGGAATTAAATCTTACTAAGCATCAAGAAATGCACAGAGGTAAGAAAACAAATGCATGTTATATATGTGGAAAGACATTCACTAGGCATGCAAACCTCATTTTACATCAAAGAACCCACACAGGAGAAACGCCTTATAAATGTTTGGAATGTGGAAGATGCTTTAGCCAGAAGTCAACACTTATTAACCATCAAGGAATCCATACAGGGGAGAAAATGTATGAATGTTTGGTTTGCGGAAAGAAGTTCACACGGAATGCAAACCTCATTTTACATCAAATCATTCACACAGGGGAGAAACCATATAAATGCTCGGAATGTGGAAAGCGCTTTGGTATGAGCTCCAGGCTCTCTAATCACCAAAGAATCCACACAGGAGTGAAACCATATAAATGTCTGGAGTGTGGGAAAAGCTTTGTTTACAAAACAAGTCTCAAGAGACATAAAACCGTGCATGCAGGAGACCAACAATTTCCGTTCCTGGAATGTAGAAAGAACTTCAGTCAGAGGAAAAATCTGACTTTACACCAAAATATTCAAAGCACAGAAAAACCATATAAATGCCTGGAGTGTGGAAATTGCTTCAGTCAGAGCTCAAGCCTTATTAGACATCAACGGATCCACACTGGGGAGAAGCCATTTAGATGTTTGGAGTGTGGGAACTGCTTCAGTCAGAGCTCAAATCTAATTAGACATGAAATTATTCATGCAAGACAAAAATTGTAGAAATGAAAGGCACTGTCATCAACTTGGCATTAATATATATCAGAGCTTTCAGTTGGAAAGGCTGTGTCAACATCCATACTGCATACAAGTTTTTTGTGGTAAATTAATGGTAAAATGTGAGAATTCATACTAGGGAGAAACCATATAAATGCTTTGGGGAAAGCATTAGAATGTGTAGAATGGTTTGTTAATTGTTTATGGTTTTATGATGTGGTTTTGTAGTGGTTTGGTGTAGTGGTTAGGAGTGCGTACTCTGATCTGGGAGAGCTAGGTTTGATTCCCCACTCCTCCATATGCAGCTGCTGGTGTGACCTTGGGTCAGTCACAAGTTCTCTCAGAGCTGTTCTCTCAAGAGCAGTCCTCGAAAGAGCTCTCTGAGCCCCACATACCTCACAGGGTGTCTGTTGTGAGGAAAGGAAAGGAGATTGTAAGCCGCTCTGAGACTCCTTCAAGTAGTGAAGGGCAGGGGATAGATCCAATCTCTTCTTCTTTTATTATTGTTCCTATTCCTGTTGTGACCTGCCCTGAGCCTGCTTGTGAGGGAGGGTGGGATAGAAATCAAATAAATGGCCATCTGGGTCAGGGTGGCAAGCTTACTTCTCTTGATTCAGATAGTCGAGAATAGAAGCTGGAAACTTCAGTAAGACTAAACCTGGAGACAGTTGTTTTTAAGAGGATGCAAAGCGGATGGGAGGAGATTTCACCTCCCATTGCGGACACACCTTCGGTTACAGGAATTGCTTTTCTTTCTTTTTTTTCCATTAATTAACCTTATATCCCGCTCCACCCCACAATTTGGGCTCAGGGTGGCTCACAACCTATGAAGTAACAATAAAAGCAATCAATTGAAACAATAAAAGCAAGATGTCACAAAAACACTTAAGTCCAACGTCTCCTGTAGCATTTAAACAGGCAGTAATAGGTAGCCCGATTTAGAGCAGTTTTTAAGCAGATGGCGGTAGGTACCAGTGTTCCCTCTAAGCTGAGTTAGCACGAGCTAGCTCACGGTTTTTTAGCCTCCAGCTCACACATTTTTTGTCTTAGCTCAGGAAGGGATGGCTCCAGAGCAAAACTGATTTAAGCAGCAGCCAAATCGTTCTCTCACCGCTTTAATGCCAGTAGCTCACCAAGTCGAATTTTTCTTCACAAGACTTCACAGCTTAAAGGGAGCGTTGGTAGGTACCCTGATATACAACAGTGCCCCATAGGTAATAAACAGTATCTGAAAGGCACTGGGTGGGTACCAAAGGCAGGGGAGGCCGAGATGGTTTAATGACCCGCGCCTCAGCCAAAGGCCTGGTGGGACAGCTCCATCTTACAAGCCCTGCAGAACTGTAGCATGCTGCGCCAGGTCAGGCCAGGCCAGGGCTGAGAAAGCCCTGGCCCTGGTTGAGGCTAAGCGGACATCTCTCGGGCCAGGGATTACCAGGAGGTGTTGATCTGCGGGGCGCAAGGCTCTCTGGGGCACATATGGGGAGAGGCGTTCCCGTAGATATGCTGGTCCCGGGCCACATATTTTGTTTGACTGCCCTAAAGGGACAAAATTGCCCAAGGTTGTCTGTTGTCACAAATATTATTATTATTATTATTATTATTAATAATATACTTTATTGTCATTGTACATAGTACAATGAAATTAAGATGCAATCATTCGGTGATCTACAACCATACTCATATACACTCACACAACCATTCACAGCCATCCCATAACTCCCTTAAGGTTCACATAGCAACTTTAAAACCACTAATGTCAACCCAAATTCCAATTTCATACAGCATTTAAAGCAATAATAGCTCTCGAATAAAAACTGTTTTTTAATGTTTGTCCTTGTTTTAATTGTCCTATATCTTCTACCCGAAGGCAGCAGTTCAATCAGGGAGTGTTCAGGGTGTGACAAATCCTGCAGAATGTTCTTTGCTTTTTTCAAGCATCGAGAACTATACAATTCCTCCATGAGTGGGAGAGGACAGCCAATAATCTTCTGGGCTGTGATGATAACTCTCTGGAGTGCTTTCCTCTCCACAGCTGTACAACTGGCAAACCAGGCACAGACGCAGTATGTTAAAATGCTCTCTATTGAGCAACGATAGAAAGACATCAGACAAAGATCAACATTGCACAAAATGTTTTCATTTATTGTGGGATAACTTTACTAACTGCTCTGCCCTGGATGGCCCAGGCTAGCCTGCTCTTATCAGATTTTGGAAGCTAAGCAGGGTCGGCCCTGGTTAATACTTGGAAATACCATGAAAATCCAAGCTCACTGGGGCAGAGGCAGACAACGGCAAACGACCTCTGTTTGTCTCTTGCCTTGAAAGCCCTACAGGGTTGCCATAAGCCGGCGGTGACTTGAGGGCTCTTTACACATACCCAGGGGTCATTTCGTAGAAAAAGAGGTGCCGGAGCTCATTAGCATAACGCATTAGCATAACTTATTTGCATATGCCACACCCCCTGGCGTCACCGGAAGTGTCAGAAGGCAACACCCACCGCTCAGGCTCCACTGGACTGTTTTGGATTGCTAGCTATTTGGGGGGGGGGGATGTGCAGATCTGTCCTGGCAGAGGAGGGAGAGCTTTTACCTGGCTAAAACGTGGTCTTAAAGGTGCCACTGGACTGTTTGGGGGGGGGGGGTGTCTGCAACTTACCTGGCTGCTTCTTGCTCTGCCTGAGGGCTGCTGGGAGCAGGGGGCGGGGCTTGTTGCATATGCCCGCCCCCTGGGCTCTTTACTGCTGGCGCTCCGCTCCCCTGCGCTCCTGCAGGGAATGACCCCTGCACATACCTCATTGTCCCCTTCTATGCCACAGTGCCATTTAGGTAGCTTCATCCTTTCTCTCTTAGATCTGGGAAAGAATGTTTGATCTGGGATCTCTCGGCATGTCTGAAGTGTGAGCTTCAGTGATTGCCAAAAGGGTCATTGCTACGGGAAGCATGTCAGTTTCTGCAGAGGGAACACAAGGCCCCAGGCCATCGTGGCGGGAAGGCAGCCTGAGATATCCAGTGCTTCAAAATATGGCAAGCAAATCCTCTCCGTTGGAAGGAATGGCAAGGAAGGGGGTTCATGTGGAGGTTTCTATTGAGGTGGAGTCTAAGCCTGTTCCTAGACCTTACTTATTGACGGCACCTGTTGAGTGTATCCAGGGGTTTTTCTGTAGAAAAAGCCCAGCAGGAACTCATTAGCATAATAGGCCACACCCAACAACAGAAACTCATTAGCATATCCAGCCACACCCACGAGAGCATAGCTCTTTAGCATATTAGGCCACACCCCCATGTTACCAGAAGTGTGGTCATCCAGCCACACCCACCTTTTGCTTCTTATTCTGTTTACCTTGTTTGTTGTCAAAACCCAGGGCTTTTTTTGTCGCAGGAACTCCTTTGCATGTTAGGCCACACACCCCTAATGTAGCCAATCCTGATGAGTTTCTGCTGTTGGGTGTGGCCTATTATTCTAATGAGTTCCTGCTGGGCATGGCCAACTTGGGAGCCAGCCGGAACTCCGTTCCTGTGCGTTCCTGCCCAAAAATAGCCCTGAGTGTATCAGTTTTGCTCTCCCTGCGAATTCAGATGTAGTTCTGGCCTTTTGGTCATGTCACAGCGTGGCAGAATGTTAAGAAGTAACTTTTTCAGAAGGGGTGAGGTGGGTGAAGTCCAGTTAGAGATTCAAAAGTCAAGAGATTCCATATGGGGCCTAAATAAGCGATCCCTGACATTCTCCCCAGTTTCACACAGGGCATGGGCAGTGGCCAGTTAGAGAAACACAAGTGTCAAGAGAAGCCAAGAATGTCCATCGGGCCACCAAAATCCTCATAATTGTCCCCTAGGGTTGCAAGTCAGTGACTGGCAACTGGGAGGGACCTGAGGCCCTGGAGACATGGGAGGCACTGTTGGGTAAAACCATGGTAAAGGTAAAGGTTCCCTTGCTCGAAAGCCAGTCGAGTCCGACTCTAGGGTTGCGGTGCTCATCTCCGTTTCAACGCCGAAGAGCCAGCGCTGTCCGAAGATGTTTCCGTGGTCGTGTGGCCGGCATGACTAAACGCCAAGGCGCACGGAACGCTGTTACCTTCCCACCGAAGTGGTCCCTATTTATCTACTTGCAATTTCTTGCTTTCGAACTGCTAGGTTGGCAGGAGCTGGAACTAGAGATGGGAGCTCACTCCGTCATGCGGCACCCGGGTCTTGAACTGCTTAACTAACCAACCTTCCACAGCCTGCAGTTCAGGGTCTTACCACTTGAGCCACCACAGCTCAACCAGAGGTTCTGGTAATTCCAAGAATGGCACCTGGTATTTCTGGCCACTGTGTGATACAGAGTGTTGGACTGGATGGGACTTTGGCCTGATCCGACATTGGTGTCTCTTATGTTCTTATGTTCTAATGGCAACAGCAGGTTTTTTTTAATTGCCCCCATCAGCAGCAGGGGTAGCAGCAATGTTGCAACAGCCCTATGAGGTAAGTTAGCCTTAGAAAGAGTGACCCTAACCCTCTGCTGTGGTCCTAATCCAAAATGGGGTCTGCAGGCAAGCTGTTTAAGCCAAACTTGGGGGGGGGCCCTCCTCGCAGCAGTTCTCAAGATGTCACCTGATTTGGTGCCAGCGCATCATCCACGCAGGAGAATTAGCCACTGTGAAAGGAGTATGGCCGTTGTACCTCTGTATGTGTCTCACCTCTGTGCTTGCCCCGTTGCATTTCTGAAGTGTGGGGTTCCGAGGGTCTCCTGAGGTTGTTGGGGAATTAGCCAGGAAACCCAAACAATGCAAGAGGGAGTAATGTAGCAGGATCTCCACCTATGTTTACGGGGATTTCCCTCTCAGTGGATTAATGAAATGGCTTTTATTAATTAAATGATTAATGAAATGGTTTTTATTAACAAGAATTAAAGAATAAAAAACTTACTAAAGAGCACTGTATGAACATTCAGTGAATAGTTTCAAGTGCCTCTTCTTCTTTGCGAGATTCTCTGCTCTGGCCTG